GGCGGGCGGTGCCTGGGGCGGAGGAGAAACACCCTGTGGGGTGCTCTGTGCTTAGTGTTGCTTCTGCGCCTCTGCTTTTCGTCTAGGAAGAAGTTCAAAAGCACGTCCGAGTACATTTACCTGACTCTGTTTCTGAACGGGGAGAACAGCGATGTCAAGATCTGTGCCCTGGGAGAGGAGTGGAACCTGCATAAGATTTATCTGTGCCAGGTCAGCTGTGTTTAGTAGAACGATGTTAGGTTGACCTGAGATACTCTTCTTCCCTTGTATTTTTTATTATCTATTACCCGAAAGGGAGTTGTAATGAGGTGGGTCAGTGTCTGCTCCCCAGCAACAAGTGATAGATGAGAGGAACCGGCCTCAAGCTGCCCCAGGGCAGGTTTAGCTGGAGCTGAGGAACAATTCCTTGCCCAGAGGGTGCTCAGGCATTGGAACAGGCTGCCCAGGGCAGGGCTGGAGTCACCGGCCCTGTGAGTGTTCCCAAACCTTGTAGACAAGACCCTCAGTGCCCTGGGTTAGTGGTGGCCTTGGCACTGCTGGGGAATGGTTGGACTTGATGAGCTTAAAGCTCTTTTCCAACGTGGTTGATTCCATGATTCTCTGATTTCACCTGTGTTAGAACTTTTGAAAGGGCAGGAAAGGCATTTGTGTGTAGCCAAAGGCTGAGCAGGGGCATCCAGCTCTGGATAGAACAGTGTTTGACCAGGGGACAGCTGGCAGACACAGCTTTAGGTGGCTTTAATTGGCTTTAATTGTGATTTTGCCTCTCCCTCACAAAGGGAGGACATCAGTGGGTTGGACAGTCAACCTTGCCTTGTGCAGCACAAAGTAAGTCAGGTTTCTGTTTCCACTTGTGCTCTGTCATTGGAATAACTATAGCTGAAATGGTTTTGAAGGTTAAGTAACTCTCTCTGTAACTTACCCTTGATGAAATGACTCTTCCTGTCTTGGTCTGAATGTTTCTGTTTCCCTCATCTCTCAAGTTACTGCATTGAGTTTGCTAAATGCCAGTAACGTGCTGCTCTACCTGTTGATGGCAGATCTGAGAAATGGAGGAACTCCTTTTTCTGATGCTGTTTGCTAAAATGATCATTCCTCATGAAACTGAGGAGTTGATCTACGTGGCAAAGCTAAGGTAGGTTAGCTTAATGTAGCCCCATGAGGACCGGTAAGATGAATAAGGTCCTGGCTTTGAGAGTAGGTTTGTGTGGCATCATAGGTAGGGGATATGCTGAAGGTATAGAAATATTCACATCATCAAATAAATCAAAGCTGGGTTTCATGTGACTTGCTACCCTGAGCTGAAATGCTGAGGCAAGAGGTCAGGGGAGATGGTGCTGTACAAACAGGCTTCATTGATCTCTCAGGTGAAGTTTGGTGAGTGATAGCATCTCCTAATGGGCACATCTGCTGCTGAGAAGGAGAACCATGACTCCTAGTGGGACATTTGCTTGGAAACCTATCAAATCCTAATTTTATATGCCTTACACTTTAGAATAAAAGGTCCCTTTACATCAGTGGTGCATGTGTGTGTGTCCTTGGTATGAGACTACAACCTTGTACTTTACTTTATATGTCTTGCCTGCTTTTTCTTTCTACCCCCAACACCCAAACGGGCATTCCCTAATGCCTGCAGGATTTGTTGTCCACGAGTAACATTAAGGACTTAGTTCATGGACTAATTATATCCCTAATGATGGTGTGATTTGAAGGAAAAGAGCTTATGTGGCTTTACTGGCCTTTTCAAGCTCTTTACTTACTGTGATTACAGACATGGTGTCCAGATTTTCTATGCATGTTTCAGAAACAGAGCAAATACAATTCCCCCTTTCTCAAGTATGTCAAAATGTTGGAGCTTGTGAAAAGTTCCCTTAATGCACTTTTGATCTGCATAAAGTTAAATATTAATGATTTTTCATTCCATGAGCTGCTTTCTACAGCTTTAATTGGAATGAAATCCCTTATTTGAGTTCTTCTCTCATCTTCCCTCATAGTCAGGCTACTTTTCCAGCATGTTCAGTGGATCTTGGAAAGAATCCAGCATGAACACCATAGAGTTGGAGATTCCCGACCAAAATATTGATGTAGAAGGTGAGTGGGAACCTTTTATTCGAAGAAAACCCTGAAGGTAGAGGTTAAGGTGAACCTGACAAAAAATAGCTGCAAATACATACTTTATGTTTTAAGAATAGTTTTCAAACCTGAGAGGGTGAGTGCTGTGCTCATTCAGGTTTGAGCTTAACTGGAGTCACCAGGAGAGTTGAATTCAGTTTTGTGCCTCTGAGTTGCAACCACTTGTGCTGTTGTTTTGGCATCAGCACTCTCGAGATCTGCTCTCGTGGAGACCCACGTTTGAGGGTAAATCCCATCTTCCTCTGTCTGGTCTTGAAAAGCTCAACTGGGGTGAGTTGACAGAGTGTTTTGCTGTGGTTCCAATCACCATGGAGCAAGGAAGGAGTGTTTCTAAGAGGAATTGCAGAGAAACTTGTAGCTGGCTTGATATCCAGAGCAAATAAGACTGTAGAGAACGTGTGCACACAAGTGGTCTGGTTACATTTAAGGATTCTTTCAGTTACCTGTGCTCGATGTCCTGCCTTTGTTTGATGCTTGTACTCTTTTCAGCTCTACAGGTGGCTTTTGGCTCCCTGTACAGAGATGAAGTGCTAATAAAACCCAGTCAAGTGGTTGCAGTTTCAGCAGCAGCCTGCATGCTGCAGCTGGTAAGTAATAAATATGCAACATTTTAATGCTTGTTTTTCAGATAAACAGTCGATAATACACTTGCACGTGTGTACTTCTTCACCCAGAGAAATGAATCATCTTTTCAGACCAAAACCCCAAACATAATGCAGTGGTTTGGTTGAAAAATACTGTGACAAAGATCCTGTTGTAATATTAAGTGCTGCTTTGGGAATCGTATCTAGTAGATTAAAACGTGTTTTAACAGCTCATTTGTTCTACCCTGAAGGTGTTCATTAAGCTTGTCTTTCACATGATGTATTCTTGAGGAAAAACCTCTATTTCTGAGGAATGTTGGCTTCATATTTTGGCTATTGGTCCCTGTGGTTGTGTGTGACTTTGGTAACTGTTCAGGCATGAAAATCTGTATGAACTGCACAAGCTTTGACACTTCCTGTTGGGAAATGAAAACTTTGGGTTGTTTTTCCTCCCCACAGGATGGCTTAATCCAGCAATGTGGTGAAACAATGAAGGAAACCATTAATGCCAAAACTGTGTGTGGTTATTATAAGGCAGCGGAGACGTACGGGTTAGAGTCTGTGAAGAAAAAGTAAGAATTGATTTCTCCAAGCTGCTTTGTCCATTGCTATGTAAAAGTGTGAATTTACAATCAGTAGGATAACACCCAAGTTAATTGTTATTGGTTTAAAGCTATCTGACTTGGGCTTTGCTTGTCCTATTTGGTTTTCAGGTTTCTACTAGAATCATTCACCTTAAAATTGCTGTAGATGAGCAGAGATGGGTTGGCTTTTGCTGTGACTGAATGAATTACTGAAGTCTGTTAGGCTTCAGTGTAACAATGAAATAATGCTTCTGATCATTGACTGTTCTATCACGAAGCTGCTTTAACATGCAGAACCTAAGCTTAGCTTTATTTAAATAGGGTGGATAATTAGACACTGGGGAGCAGAATGCTGAGGTCAGTGCTAACTGCTTCCTTCTGTTGTGAATTACTGTGTTCTCAGAGCTTTTTGTGTCATTATTAGTACTTTGAATTTAACTTTCTCTCTACCCTGAGAGAAATTAAATGCAACTTTGAGAGTTTCAGAAAATGTTGGAAGAATTTATGGTAAACTTCATGGGTTTAAAATAGTTTGTCATATTTTTATGCCCTCCTGTCTGGGGATTACGTGGTACGTAACCAGGCTGTGTGAGCCTGAGCAACTATTGCAGGCATGTTGACTTATGTAATTAAAAATGCAGGTCCTAACTCCTTCTTTCTAATGTAGGTGCCTTGAGTGGCTCTTGAATAATGTGATGACTCACCAGAGTGTGGAACTCTTCAAAGGAATCAGGTATTGAGGCTGCAGTTAACTTCCAGTGATGAAGTACAATTCCTTCCAAAGTATATAGCTCACTACAAATAACTTCCTAGGCTGTTGATGATTGCTTGTCACCTAGCTTGCTTGCTTGGGTTTGCCTAGATTGTCTCACAGAACTCTTATGATCTGATTTGCTTGTTTTCAGCATAAACCTCATGAAACAGCTGATCAGCTCTTCAAACCTCTTTGTAATGCAAGTGGAAATGGATGTGTACACCACGCTCAAAAAGGTACTGTGCAAAGTGTCAGAAGCTTTGGAGGAATGAATCCATTGTGAAAATGTCCCTTTAATACCACACGTGTTCCTTACTTGACAACTTCAGTTCACTCACTGGAGGCTGTTTATTTTACCTAGTGGATGTTCCTTCAGCTCGTGCCTTCATGGAATGGGTCTTTGAAGCATCTCTTAAGCGAAGCTGATGCCTGGTTTGCAGAGCGCAAGAAAGGTAGGAGTAATTGCCATGGCCTTGGATTGGGGAAGGTGTGGGTTAGGAGTGAAAGAAGTCTTCCTCCACTTGCAGACTTTCTCTGTTCTCTCTGGGAAAGCTTGTCTCTGCCAGCACTGCCCAGCATCAGGTTCTCAACAGCAACAGGTTTTTCACTGCTTTGCCCACTTGTTTTTACGTGAGCAGAGATGGTCACTGGTTTTGCTCTGTTGCTCTTGCGGTTGTTCCATTAGGTTAACCTTTTGTTGCCTCTAGAAGGCACTACTGCAATTCAAAAAGGGAAAAGTTTGCTTTAACACTTCTGCTGAAAGGATTTGGATGCAAGGGGTTTCAGAATTTCAGCTGCAGAAGGTGGTTTGCCTGCCCATAATAACTTTCTCTGATCAATAGCTTGAAACTCAAATCTCAAATACAAATAGGGTCTGGAAAAAATACTTAGGAAAGCAAATTGTAATACAGGTGTTGTCTCTTGCAGATTTTGACAGTGACATTGCATTCCTGGAATCAGAAGATGGGAATCGGTTCCTGTCGGTGTTCACACACTTGAGGTTACAGCATATCATCAGTGACTTGGCATCGGCCAGAATTCTTGAGAGAGATTCCCTCATACCCTCAGGTGAGTGAATATTTGGCATTGATGAGGCCACACCTTGAATCCTGTGTCTGTTCTGGGCCCCTCACTGCAAGAGAGACATTGAGGTGCTGGAGCGGGGCCAGGGAAGGGCAATGGAGCTGCTGTAGCGCCTGGAGCACAAGTGTGATGGGGAAGGGCTGAGGGACCTGGGGGGTTTAGTGTGGAGAAGAGAAGGCTCAGGGGGGACCTTATCACTCTCTGCTCCCAAGGAAGAAGGGACGGCTCAAGAGGAAATGGCCTCAAGCTGCCCCAGGGCAGGTTTAGCTGGAGCTGAGGAACAATTCCTTGCCCAGAGGGTGCTCAGGCATTGGAACAGGCTGCCCAGGGCAGGGCTGGAGTCACCGTCCCTGCAAGTGTTCACAGCCCGGGTAGCCGAGGCCTCAGTGCCAGGGGTTAGTGGTGGCCTTGGCAGTGCTGGGAAACAGTTGGACTTGATGAGCTTAAAGCTGTTTTCCAACTTAAAGGATTCTGTAATTCTACTCAGCTGATGAAGTTTTGTGTCTTTTCCAGAAAACCAAAGCACAAGATGCTATGAACTCTTTTCCCATCTTCAAAGACAAGTGTTATTTAGTAACAGATATCTAGGATGATTTGGTGGGGATAGGATAGTTTAGATGCTGCTCTTGTCCTTTGATTTCCATTTAGACTTGTCTAAAATACATCCTCATTCTAGATCCTGTTGCTTTTTGAAGCCTATGAATGGCATTTCACTCTGTTGTTATAGATTACTGTTATTAACATCACATTATCACTGAACAATAAAAGGCCCCATTCTCAGCTGGATGCTGAAGTCTGAGTTCACAGATCAGCTTTGTTCTTTGCTCAGAAGCTGTGTAAGTCCAGCTGAGATGAGATGATGAAGTGTGGAAATGAGTTATGAGGTTGGGCTCTCACTTGAACATGTTTTCCCTCTATCATTCATGTCTCTTACCATGGGAACCTGCCCTTTTTTCTTTTTCTCTTTCTGTTTTGGGGTTTCTGTGGGTTTGAGGTTTTTCCTCCACTCCCCAGAGATAGCTTGTAACAGGGTTTGGACTTCTCATGCTCTGCCTTTAAATACGGCTTCTGTTATCCTTGCTCCGTATTTCACTCTGTTCAGTGTTCCTGTATCGTAGCTGAATCTTAGCACTGAACTTTGCATCTTAACTCTGGTAGGTTTTTTTCCTGGCTCTCATGTACTTTGATTTGCTTTTATCACATCTGGCTGCTCTGTAACTGTCCATTCACCTGTGTCTCAGTGATGTCTCTTTATAGGTTTAATTCCCAAATGTCAATTAAGACTACTTCTATTGGCTGTTTCAGTCTTTGTAAGTTCTTGACATCTGTCTTCTTGTCCATAGTTGTAGCCTTAGGGTGTCACTTTGGCCATATTTAACCTGTCTTTGAGTTCCACTGCTGTCTCCTTGCAAAATGAAAATGATTTTTCTTCATCTCATACTGGCTTTTTCCTTCATGCTGCCATGATGGCAACACAGTGATGATACAAAGCCAAAGCAGACTGGTTAGGGTATCGCTTGTGAAGCCTGCTCAAGTGGTCAGATGCTGTTAAAACACTTCCCTTCCCATTAAGATAACATAGTGAGCATCACAAATTTGCCTTTCTTGTACTGCTGCGTCCTGTCTCTGCTAGAAATAATGGTTGAGTTGCTCTTTGTAGATGAATGTCTGAATAACCAGGCGCAGCTCTTTCTCACACTTTGAAGCTGAATTACAGCTCTTGAGGATGGGGGTAGGATCCTTTCCTCACTAGAAATCTGTCTCTTGAGTGACGGTGAACAGTTTCTGCTACTGAAATGTCCTGGTTTTCCCTGCTCCCTGTTCTGATTTAAATTAATACCTTAACGGATGGAGAAGAGGCTCTTTTGCACTAGTAAAAGTACAAAGGAACTGGGTTATTCTGTGCTCAAAATGTCTATTGAAATGCGTTCTCTGAACAGCAGGTGGAGGCCGAGCATTAGAGACGCTGCGTCCAGGCCGGGTGCAGCCTGTGCGAGCAGCCTGCCCCGTTACTGCCAGTAGGAGGAGCAGGTTTTGACCTCGAGCAAGCGATAACATTTTAGATGATGCCTAAAAATCCCTCCAGAACACATCTGATTTTTGATATGTGTTATTTTATATGCTTAAGTGATGTATAAAGTAAATATAATCCACCTTACTTAAGATGGATATTGGTACGGATCATAATCAGAGTGCAAATGCATCTTCATTCTGTAATAAACCAGCAGATAACTTGGTGGGAACGACTCTTGTAGATCCTAATTTATTGATGACACAGGAGAATTGTGGGTTGTTTCCTTGTGAAGTGACTTTGTCACCGTGTGAATAAGATGTTGCGAACTAGAAATTTGCCAATACTGCACTTGATTTCCTTCTCTTAATGCTGCTGCTGTTCTGGCTTATCAGGATTGACGGGCAGGCTCTTCTTAGTGTTGCTGAAGCACTGTTAGAGTTTAACCCTTGATAACCCTTGTAATCTATTGATACCAGTTTCTAACCAAAAGTTGTGTTAAGATCAGGAGCTTTTACTCATCATTTAGGAGAAGGTTTAGACAAATACTGGCATTGCACTTTCAGAGAGGTTACTGGCTGCCAGCAGCCACTGTTGAGGGGGAAATCATGCTGAATAGTTGAAAGAAATGGTGTGATTATTCATATCTTTTATATCTTGTATGTACACAGGACCTGCAGGAGGCAACTGAAGTACTGTATTGAGTGTTCTTGTTTGAATAGGAAAGATGTAAGAGACAAACACAGAATGTGTCTGTCTGAAAGCCAAGTGTGTGTTGTTCTGTTTCACTTGGTAACTTCTGAACATTTCCTGATAAGCAGTATTTTCTCTCTTAATGTTTGCAAATTAACAGTTGACATATGATGCATGAAATAGATACATATATAGAGATAGAGAAGATGCTTTATCTCCATTCTCTGTTCTTTACCTGTGTAGTTTTCCTTAATTCGTTTTTATACTTTTGCTTTGGTTAATTCCCATTTTGGTCCTATCACAGTAGTCTGAATCTTAGCTCTAGAAGTTAGTCGTGCAAGTTTGCATCTGGAACTTCTACGACAATCTCACTTCTTCTCCCTTCTACCATATTCATCAACCTCTTGTTTTCATGGGAACTGTGGTTCTCACTGTCCCTTTCATCCTTTCCTCCATAGAGTTTGTTCTGGACCATGACCTTGCATACTTGCCCCTGTTTGTTAGCTTGACCAAGAAGAACTTGCTGTGCTTTTCGTTGCCTGTCATCCCTTTTGTGTAACTGACTTGAAGCTGTGAGGTTTTGTTCTGCTTTATCTCTTGGTTGCAACTGTTAAATTAATACGGTCGATAAAATCTTTATAGTGCTGTCAGAGGAAGATGTGATTTATGTTTATTCCTGGTAGGAGACAATTTCTGTTTGTTTCTGCCGTATCCGTGATAAGTCACTGTTTCCTTTCCCATTGATTCTGTTTTCTTCTCGTTTAACTTGTGCAGAATTCTGCTGAGGACTCAGAAAACAGCATCTTTTCCCAAGGGCTTTTAACAAGCTCCTTGGCTTAACAGCACTTTGCTCACCAAGATGTGTTGAGCTGCATCACTTCTGGCAATCGTGAATGCTTGATCAGATCAATACAGTGCTGAGTTATTTAGTGGTAGCTGTTTGTATTTTTTATCATAGAATCACAGGGTCATAGGCTCAGCCAGGCTGGAAAAGACCTTTTAAGATCACCCAGTTCAGCCATTCCCCAGCACTGCCAAGGCCACCACTAATCCCGTGGCACTGGGGCCTCAGCTACACGGTTCCTTGGGAGCAGAGACCAGCCCCCTCCTGGCTCCATCCTCCTGTCAGGCAGTTGCAGAGAGCGATCAGGTCCCCCCTGAGCCTTCTCTTCTCCACACTAAACCCCCCAGGTCCCTCAGCCCTTCCCCATCACACTTGTGCTCCAGGCCCTGCTCCAGCTCCGGTGCCCTTCTCTGGCCCCACTCCAGCACCTCAATGTCTCTCTTGCAGTGAGGGGCCCAGAACTGACACAGGGTTCGAGGTGTAGCCTCCCCAGTGCCCAGCGCAGGGGGACAGTCCCTGCCCTGGCCCTGCTGCCACACTGGTGCTGAGCCAGGCCAGGATGCTGGGGGCTTCTTGGCTGCCTGGGCACAAGCTGCTCCTGTTCAGCTCCATCAATCAGCACCCCCAGGTCCTTCCATGAGCAGTTTCCAGCTGCTCTTCCCCAAGCCTGGAACGCTGCAGGGGGCTGTTGTGACCCAAGTGCAGGACCCAGCACCGAGCCTTCTTGAGCCTCATACCAGTAACACAAATGTGTTACCAGGTGGTGGGTTTGCACTGGTTAATGAGTGTAACCTTATTGTTTCAATGTAATTTTATTTCTCCATTTAACTGTTTATGAATGTCCCATTCCCAGCTCCAGAGACAACACCCAGCTTATTCATTCTGTTATTGTTTTTAATTTTAGAATGGCTGTCCCCTGTTTACAAACAGCTGTGGTTTGCCATGCTCAGAGTAGAACAAGAGAATGATATTGGGTAGGTATATTACAGGCTTTCCTTTATTACTTTCTTAAATTAGAAACCTTCCTCTCATATAAAACCTGACATGCTTAACTTCTGGAGTTTAAGAAGAAACAGGGAGAGGAGACTTCAGTGGTTTTAAACTCTGTTGCTCTCTGCGGAGCTGTCTGTTCCCTTGGGCTGGCTCATCTCCTTTCCTTTCAACAGCAGATCTCTAGAAAACTTGTGTAATGCTGGGAGGGATCTTCTCTATTTTCTTTTATGTTGCTTAATGCTTTTCACTGCTACTTTGCCCTGAAATACGTGTCAAGGCTGTGAAGCAGTACTTTAGCCTTCCATATTAAGGATGACTTTAGGAGAAGTACTGCAGACAGAGAAGAAGCCTCATCTGTCTTGCTTCCTTCCTCCCTGGGCTAGGTGGACAAGAGGTTGTGGTGCAATGTAACTGTATTGGTGTAGGAAGCAATGTGTCATTTTTGATTTAGGCAAGGATAACTCCAAACTAACTTTGTTCTGCCTCTCCCATCACAGCCTCTCAAGCAGCGAGCGAGGGCCCAGCACCCAGCAGGGTTTGGCACCCCTGGCACCTGTTTGCCTTGTTCCCTTCTAATATCACAGCCTTTCCCCCAGCCACTGATTAAGTTTGATACCACCCTCCACTGTCAGTGCCTCCAGCTTTTTCTAGGCACTGCATCCTTCTCCACTGCTAAGATGCTGCTCTCTCTATAATCCTCCTATTTTATATCCCATCTTTCCTCCTTCCTAAGCCACGTGTTTTACCATGGTGGCATTGCATTGCCATTGAGAAGAATTCCATGGTGGCATTGCATTGCCATTGAGAAGAATTCCATGGTGGCATTGCATTGCCATTGAGGAAAATCCATGGTGGCATTGCAGTGCCATTGAGGAAAACTCCATGGTGGCATTGCGGTGCCATTGAGGAAAACTCCATGGTGGCGTTGCATTGCTATTGAGGAAAACTCCATGGTGGCATTGCAGTGCCATTGAGGAAAACTCCATGGTGGCATTGCAGTGCCATTGAGGAAGTTCCATGGCAGCTGTCAGCACACATGCATCGTTTCTGTGCCCTTTCACAGATGTGCATGGAGCTGTGCTTTGTGTAACACCCTGATGGTGTCTGTGTGTGTAATGTGAACCTGTACAGGGGTTGCTGGTGGTGGCTTGGGCAGCAAGGCATGGTGATTCAGTATGTTACATGTGTGCATGTCATCACAAACTGTTTGCCTTCCTTCTGCTTCACTTCTGTGCCTTGAGCCAGGTCCCGTGATCTCTTACAAAACACCGAAACTATGGCAAGGTGCAACTGGGGAAATGTTTCCTGCCTTTGTCTTCTCTCCTAGTTCTTAGTGTGCTTTGTGGAGGACAAACCTCAGGTCAGGAAGCTGCAAAATGTTTGTTACCTCTCAAAAAGCAATAAACCAACGTCTTTATTTTCTGCCAGTTCTGTTAGCCCAGCATTTGCTGCTCTGAAGGTCACAGAATCCCAGACTAGTTTGGGCTGGAAAGGACCTTAAAGCTCCTCCAGCTCCAACCCCTGCCACAGGCAGGGACACATTCCACTAGAGGAGGGTGCTCCCCGCCCAAGCTGGCCTTGAACACTGCCAGGGATGGGGCAGCCACAGCTTCTCTGGGCACCCTGTGCCAGCGCCTCAGCACCCTCACAGGGAAGAGCTTCTGCCTCAGAGCTCATCTCAATCTCCCCCCTGGCAGGTTCAAGCCATTCCCCTTGTCCTGTCCCTACATCCCTTGTCCAAGCCCCACTCCAGGTTTCCTGGAGCACCTTTAGGCACTGGAGCTGCTCTAAGGTGTCCCCTTCAGGAGCCTTCTCTTCTCCAGGCTGCCACTCATGTGGCAAGTTGCCCTTCTCTGGACCTGCTCCAGCACCTCAGTATCTCTCTTGTAGTGAGGGTCCAGAAAAGGAGTATCACCCTTCCAGCTCCTAAAGATCCATGTCGGGTGGTCACAGCTTGTTTCTGATACTACTGTTTTCTTGGGCAGACTTTTCTTGTAGTGCTATTGTTGATGGATTTAGCAGTAGGCAATTGGACATTGTGTGTTACTTCCAGCTCTTATGGGAACCACAGTTAGCATGGAAGTATTAGCATAGTCATCAAAATTGGGTTCCCTTGTCCAGTTTTCTCTTTTGCAGTATGGGATTTTCTTTACTTTTAAGACAGCTAAATCTGAAAATATCAGTCAGAGAAAGTTTTACTTAACAATAGACTGTGTTTGCCCAAACCTCTTATTCTGGCATTCATTGTTAGGGGCTTTCTTCAACAGCAATGGTAAGAAGTGGGTGGGATGTAGTGTTTCTTCTCGATATGTCTTTGCTTCTGACTTCAGTAGTTTGCAAACTTAACATGGTTCAAGGTGACATCCAGGTTACTGTTTGTTTAACAGTTGATAATGGATTGTCTTGGGACATGGTGTTCCCTGTGGCTGCACAGGAGGTGGTGGGAGTCCAGGCACGTGTGTGTGGAGCACTTTCCTGTACCTGTGTGCAGCTCAGCTCTGGTGTTGCTCGTCCATAGCATGCAGTGTCTTACCACTCATGTTATTTGAAGTCCTGAGATCACTTCTCTCTTCTGCTGGCAAGCTGCAGTGCCACCCTGCAGCGAGATGCTGCTGGTTCCCAACTTGTTTCTTAGAAGGGAAGGCTTGAACTGTTCCACTGTATTAAAGCAAGTATTTTGGACATCTCACCAACCTGTGGCTGAAAGAAAAGATATCAGGTTTTATTAGACCATCCTGTTACCCAGATGTGCAGCCCTTTCTCTTGCATTTACTGCCTGTGTTGGTTATCTTAACACATTCTTCCCCTTAGAGATAAGGATGCAGACTTGGTAAGCTGAGCAAAACATGAAGTCTGGCTCCCAGCAAGCCAGAGTAAGCTCTGTTCTCATCTCCCACCCTGGTGAACAGCATCATTGAACCTGCTTATTCTAGGAAATCACATTGCTTTGAAATGAGCAACGTGAGTTCCTCTTTTGATAACTTCAGAGAGGAAAAGCAAATGTTTCTCTTCTACTTCCTGAAGTTTGTGTTTAAAAGGACTAAATATTTTATATCTCTTCAGAATTTGAGAAGTTTTTAGTGTAATACTGGAGGTTTTGGCTTTGAGTTGCAGCTGCTCAAGGTTTTCTTGATGTGCTAAAGTGGGTCTATCTTTTTTCATAACTAAACATCTGTACCAGATGCCAGACAGATCTTTCAAGTCCATAACTGGATTTTCTACTCTTAATAGTCATTTTGGCAGTGTTTAGAATGAAATAGAATAACTTGCCTGTTCACTAAGCATATAGTAGGCAAGTGGAAGTGATTAGAGCTGGAAATCCTGCATCTTCTGAGGCTTCTCAAGGGATTGAGAGAGGGGAATACTGATGTCGGAGCATTATGTACTGATGTTTGTGAGAGGTGTGACTAAACAGAAATAAATCTTCTATCACCATTGCTGCATTTAGGTTGGCTACATAACCAGTTCAGCTAGAAGATGTGGAAGGAGCACACAGGAGGCTTGGGGATGAATTTGGTTAGCATGATTAGCTGATTTGCTTAACTTCATGAAATCCTTCATCTTCCAGGATTGGTTGGTACAGAAACAGGGGGCGAGAAGACTCCAGGCTGAATTTGTTTGTAAAAGCTGTAGCCACAAGTGTGGTGTGTGTACAGCAGGAAGAGAAGAGCTGCTGCTCCTTCTTGCTTATATAGCTTGAAGTGTATTGTTTGATACTGCAGGTTTGTCATTTACCTTGTGTGGGGGGATGTTGCCTTTCGTTGTGATTTATAATACTCAATGGAAGTGTTTGTCCTCAGTGTAACATGAAGACTTTCTGGCAGTAGTTGCTTATTTGGTTACTGATGTAATCCTGTCTCAAGTGAAGTGAGCAACATACCTCTGAACACTGGGACTGAGTTGACTTACACTGGCTTGCAAGGCTTTACTACACGTTGAAATGCCGCTGGCAACTTGGGTGAAACAAGTTCACATTGATAGAGGATGACAGAACCAAGAGGCTTGTGGCACTTTGTGATCCTTGTGTGTAAACTTGTTTTAGACAAGTTGCATAACCAGACACTTGAGAAGTCTTATGGTGTCTCTTTGGGCACTGCTTCATGCTGCTGTTCTGCAGAGTCCTGCAGCAGTTCCTTAGCAGGAGCACTCTTATGTTTGCACCTCGTAACTACTAGGTGCAAACTGCACCTACTGTGTTTAAAAAGGACTTAGTTTAGGGTTTGGGGGATGTTTTCTTGTCTTTTTTAGAAGGATTGGATAATGGATTTCATTGCAACAGCTGTTATTTTCTTATCTGGAAAGGCTCTTCTGTGAAACTCCTGCCTCTCACAGCTGAGAGTTGGGGTTGTTCAGCATGGAGAGGAAGACTCCAGGGAAACCTTATTGTGGCCTTTCAGTGCTTAAAAGGGGCCTATAAGAAAGATGGGGAGAGGCTTTATCAGGGTCTGTTGCAGGGTGGTGGTTTTAAACTAAAAGAGGGAGATTCAGGCTGGATGTGAGGAAGACATTCTTTACAACGAGGGTGGTAAAACACCGGCACAGGCTGCCCAGAGAGGTGGTGGATGCCCCATCCCTGGAGACATTCCAGGCCAGGCTGGATGTGGCTCTGGGCACCCTGATCTAGTTGAAGATGTCCCTGCTCATTGCAGGGGGTTGGACTAGATGAGCTTTGAAGGTCTCTTCCAACCCAAACTGTTCTATGATTCTACCTGAGGTGTCACAACCTGATTTATAGGGCAGTTTTGTAAAGCAATTGGATGTTCATGGGACATTTTGGCTTGGAAGGGATCCTGAATGGTTGCCTCTGCTCAAAGAAGGGTCAGTTGTGTGGTCAGCCCAATTTACTCAGGTCTCTTCCTCTTTTTCCACGTTGAAATACCATCCAAAAGCTGTTCAGGTGTCTTTAAAGATGCACTTTGCTTTTTGTAGGCCTCAAGAAATAGATAAAGAGGAGCTGGAAGGAAGCAGCATGAGGTGTGGTCGAAAGCTTGCTGAGGATGGTGATGTAAGTGTGGCACGTGGCTAACTGAGCATCACTGGCGTGTCTTGGACATGTTGGGTATTTTCAAAACATGTTGGTCTTAATTGTCAAACTGCATCAAAAAGATGTGGTGGAGATGGTACGTTAACGAAATGATTATGTTCTCCCTAAAAGGATGAAAGCACTTTGCTGTCTTTGGGATGAATAAGGAGTTAGTGTTTTAATTGTGCTCTTAGGCTGCAAGCAAGGCCATGTTTGGAAAAAGCTTTAGTGTGTGAAAGGAGGGAATGGAGCCCTGACTTGTCCTTTGAGACTTGTAAAATACACGGAGGTAAAATATAGCTCTGATCCCTGATGAAAAAGATGTTTTTAACTGGAAAATGAAGATTTCTAGATAAAATGCATCATAGTCACAGCCAGAAGCCCTCTGTGTTCCATATCCATATATATGTGGCTTTAGGTGACAGGGCCTGGGAAACAACAGTATTTTCCCCACTGAAGTGGCTTAACCTAAGGATTTTGTACTCCAAGGAGTGCTTTAGGCGTGAATAAGACCTGTAATTGAGTGCTACTCAGAAATCACAGAATCCCAGTTTGGTTTGGGTTGGAAGGGACCTTAAAGCTCATCCAATTCCAACCCCTGCCACAGGCAGGGACACAGGCCCTTGTCCCAGGCCCCTCTCCAGGTTTCCTGGAGCCCCTTCAGACACTGGAGCTGCTCTAAGGTGTCCCCTTCAGGAGCCTTCTCTTCTCCAGCTGCCCCAGCCCAGCTCTCTCAGCCTGGCTCCAGAGCAGAGCTGCTCCAGCCCTCGCAGCAGCTCCGGGGCCTCCTCTGGCCTCGCTCCAGCAGCTCCACGTCCCTCTTGTGCTGTTCCCCAGAGCTGGACCAGGGCTGCAGGGGGGGTCTCCCCAGAGCACAGCAGAGGGGCAGGATCCCCTCCCTGAGCTGCTGCTCACGCTCTGGGGGTGCACCCAGCACACGGGGGGGTTCTGGGCTCAAGCACACACTGAAGCCGGGTCATGGGGAGCTTCTCCTCACCCAACACCCCCAAGTCCTTCTCAGGCTGCTCCATCCAGTCTTCCCCAAGCTGTGTTTGTGCTTGGGGGTGCAGCACCAGTTACCAGGATGCAGAAGTAATTTAGACCCCTTTTGTTGAACATATTTCTGCATGTTTGGAAGGTTGCTGATGCTGTCTCATGTAGTCATCTGTCTGTGAGGTTTGGCCACTAACCTGAGTGCTTGCCTACCAAGATGTCTCGTGGCAAATAGGTGTTGGCAAGGATCCTCAAATCCACCATACATCTCTGTAGCTGAGAATCCCATTCCCCAGTCTGACTTTTTGGGAGAAGTGGTGCTTATAATTTGTGTTGTAGCCAGCACTTAGACTGTTTGTTTGGGTTTTTTTCTCCAGTACTGCTGGCGCTGGACTGGATTCAACTTTGGCTTTGACCTCCTTGTTACTTACACCAATAGTTGCATCACCTTTAAACGGAATACACTGAGTCAGCCATGCAGTGGATCAGTCAGTCTGCAGCCTCGGAGAAGCATAGCCTTCAGGTGAGCAGTAGCCAAGAAGCAGACCCTGTGTGTATGCCAGAATGTCTTCCCATAACTAAGTTTTCCATCTGTGCTTGCAATTTTGTTGCCTCCAAGTTAGTTAGGTTTGAAAATGGTATTCTGTCTCCTTGGGAGAAACTCTTGGTGCTGGAAAAACTTAAGTTATGGGAGATGAAGTAATTTACCTGTTGTTAACATCCCTAGGTTACGTCTCGCCTCTTTTGACAGCACCGGGAGAGTTACTCGCAGTATAACAACAGGGTATCAGATCCTAAGCCTTGAGAAGGACCAGGTATGTTTGTGCCTTTTGGAGCTGTTGGATTGTGGAGTCCAAGGCATGACAAAAATGCTGAGAAGTCAACAAGGCTTTTGAAGAGCTGTCCTTCTTCTTGTTTATGTGGAATTTCAGGTGTTCCTTTTATAGATAGTGGATAGGAAGGTGAGTTGTGAAGTGTAACTAGTTAGGATAGCATGGGTTTCATTAGTGTGGATAATAATGATGGTCCCATGTTGCTGCTGAAGCTATCTGCTGCCAGTGTAGTGTTCTGCTGGGCAATTCCTTGCTTTCCCAGACTTCCAACACTGCTGGGATTCCCCATCTGAATAATATGCCCATCAGACTCCTGCTTACTTAGAGGCGAATTTGGAGTTCGTTTGAAGACTCTTGTATTGTAAGCTGAAGAGTTAAAAGAGTGGATATTGTTCAAGAGTGGCATTTATTAATTAATTAGTTATTATTATAAAAAATGAGAGCCTGATCTGCCAGCATTACTCTCAAGACTAAAGCCAAAACCCAGCACTTTAGGAAGAGAATTAACTCTATCCCAGCCGAAAGCAGGACAGCCTCAGAGAGGAGTAGAGTTTTCTTAAGAGAACTTGCCCTTTTATACCCATCTGTGACAGCAGAATCTAGCAAGGGATGTGAAAGACTTGATCATAGAGTCTCTTAAATCCTCATCAGTGGTAAATAGATCATGAGTACATAGAAAACTTCTCCTTGAAGCTTTATCCTGCGCTGGGGATGGCACTTACAGTTTTGCTACCCCAAACCCAGTTTCTAGGGTAAAACCAAACATTTCCTACCAACAATCTGTAACCTGCTTTAAAGTACACACTACTGTGGGTTGCCTGAGTGGTTATAGCTCTGGAAACTGATAGTGGCAGAAAAGTCTCCAGTGTGCTTGAAGGGAAAGTTTGCTCAGCCATTTCGTACGCTTCTTATCTTTGGTGCAGCACTGGGTCAGAGGGTTATAAGCATGTTGAGGCTATCTTATCAGTGTTAATATTGTAAAACATCTGCTGAAGGTGAATTACTGTCTTGGGTGATGTTTTTATCTTCTTTTTAATAAGTAGTAATTAAAACGTATGGAATATTATTATCAGTCTGATTTTCCTCTTGATGTACTTCCCTCCAACAGCACCGCTTACTGCGCATGTTCCCCTGTGTTTGCTTTGCAGGAGGAGGTAGTGATGTACTTGGACAGTAGACTCCTGATCTTCCCACTCTATATCTGCTGTAACTTCTTGTACACATCACCAGAGAAGCAGTGAGGCACTGCCAGATCATTTGGGAGCCTGAGACCTCTTTGGTGGAATCCAGTAGCACTTCTCTAACTCTGCATGCCTGCTTCCCATTAAATGCCCTGCTGACGCACAGAGCTTGGCACCAACAAAGGCCTTACACTGTGGCAAAGATACTTGGCCTTAGTATCCTCCTATGCATCTCTGAAGAGAAGAGCAGGAATTAGATAGGACCAAAACTAGTTCTCCCATTCTCTTTTATTTATTTCTTTTCTGCATCTTGAGACAGGAGCCATTCCATGTTTAAGGAATGTTTCGCTTTGGGCAAAGACTGAGCCAAATTGGAAATAGGGAATTTGTGTGAATGTCATCCTGTAAGCTTACCTGTTAGATTCTGAGCCCACATTGTAGGATGTGTGGGTTTTGTTACCACGTTTAGGGGGTTTTAGTACCAGATCTGTAAATACCAGATCCGTGTTACTTACTTTTGTGGTCCTTTTCCATTCGAGTCAACTACATTTGTCTAACTGTTGCCTGTACCTTCTGTTGGTTATTTAACTGTACAGATTCACAAACCTTGGTTTTAAGCCTTTATTGCCTCTCATACATGTACATTTTTGCTTGTTCTTGGGCTTTTTTTTTAACGTTGCAACATATATTTAATTTTTTTAGCATGTGAATTTGCTGTTAAGGATGTTCATAAGTGAATTACTCGTTTTCCACCTACTGAAAACACTCTAATGTACTAAGCAGCATTTGAGTATCAAACAGCAGCTTATTCTACTCACATGAACCAAATACCAGTGTTTGAACATGGCTTTTTGTGACTTATTTTAACTGTTAACATTGGGATTACACCCTGGTTTAGCTCAGGAACCTGTGACCTTTGAGTGCCTTTGAGTTGTGTTAACCCAAACCTCACTTCGCTTGAGCGTGGTCACAGCATCCAAAGGAAGAGCTGGGAACAAGGGATTCCTTCTGGCTTTTGATGAATGAGTCAAGTGTAAGAGGTACACTGTATTCTTGCTTTGTATGTGCTGAGTTTTATGTTTCTCCGTTGCAATTTTGAATTCTTACCAACAGGATTTTTGGATTCAAAGGGAGAATTTTGCCTCTTTCGTAGGCTGTTTTTTTTTTTAATGTCAGAAAAGCATAAAACCATTTGTACTTTTATAACAAGGATAAAAACGTGTTAGACAAGATGGAAAAATGGGGCAACTTGTCAATAAAGGATTTCAAGTGGAATATTCACCTACGTCTGTCCTTTTCTGCCATGAATAGCTTTTCCTATTGGATTCAGCCCTCGGATGCACCTCTCTCTAATCTTACCTCGTGTCATACTTAGGAAGCAAAAGCCTTTTAAGGCATTCACCTGCTGCAGCATCAAACTTGGTGTTTAGATACTTAAGCAAGCAGTTTTCTTGTTTATAACCAGAAATACCAACTCTTTCAAACCAAGTCATGGGTTGAGTGGAAAGGAGTTTGTGCTGCTGATGAATGGTATCTAAGAACCAGGTTAGTTTTAAACAGTTCCCTGGGTTTTATGTAATATAAAGGTTGAAATTTAAGCTTTGGTGGTGGGTCGTGCTCCACAAGGCTCCTGCTTTGTGTGCTTTAGTCCAGATCCTGAGCTGCCCTTGCACTTCGCTGGCTCCCAGGGACAAGCCCTGGCCAACACATCCGCCCTGCAGCTGGGGAACCACCACCCTGCAGTGGCGTGAGGATGTGGAATGTGGAGCAAGAGCTTACATGAAGCTCCTCTTGGTATTTACCAGATGTGAATGACTCCTCTTGATCTGTGAGTGTCCTGATCCAACCTGTACCCTCCCTCAGCCTCCTGCTTGTGGAGGGACTGTCCGTGCAAGGAAAGAAATCCCTTCCAAGCTTCAGTCCAGCGGGCAGGATCGGGGATTTGGGATGGAGCAGTGGTGAAGGTGCCTTTCCTCAGGGATAGCTGAGGAGTGAGAGGAGCACAGAAACCAAAACACATCACAACTTACCCCAGAACACGGGTGGTTGATTGGTTGTTTTTCTCTCTTTTATTTGTCACTGACTAGGAGCAGCAATCATGGCAAAGGGGAGCTGAGAAGTACAACACCACACTCAGGAAAACGGTATGAAAAGTACAAAAATAAGGAAGCCTATTATATATAATATCATTGCAGTCAATTACTAAAAATAAATATTGTAAACACGACAGAACAACATCAGGTGAATCTACAGTCACTCGTTTCTGCTAGCAGCTGAACAGTCTTTGGCTTTACTTAACTCCCCTGCCCCGCACGGAGCCAACACCCACATTAAGATGCATTTTCTTTGCTTCAGGCCAGAAAGACTCCAGACTTGTCAGGAATGTGGCAATAACATGACTCTCCCTTATTCCAAATGCCCCTTATGACCAGGAATCACCTCTTTTCAGTGACCACTGTTCCACCAGAGCTCTCAAAAGAAGGTATTTTCCTTTCTATCTGCTGGGAGGGGAGGGGATTGAGGTGAGGTGGGGAGCCAAGGCTCCCCCCAGGCCACTTGAGTTTGCTGCAGTCACCTCTTGCATGGGAAATGGGTTTTGACCCTATTTTACACCTCTCCCTGCTCCCCTCCCATGCACTTGGACCTTCACCCTCTTATCTCTGTCAGATAGCCTGGCACCTTTGGATTGCTGATAAGAGATTAGATTGCCCAGGAAGCACCCAGGCATCAAAAGCCTTTGGGGACAGGCTGCCTCGGGGCTGCTTTCAGGCCAGAGATCTCCACATCCCACATACTCCTCATCATCTTGGGTGGGGGAGAGAGCTTCTCCTACTCTGAGAAGGAAAGAGGCAAATTCCTCTTGCAAGGCTCAATACTTTGCTGTTTGTGTGTGTATACACATACACATTTTTATATATAACTTAAAATAAGCAGTACCAATAACATCCTGTCCAAACTACCAACAAGGAGAGAATTTGGTAGGGAGGAAAGGTCAGTGTCTCCAGTGTAAGCAGCTGCCACAATGGAAGACATTGTTCTGCTGCTTCTGGCCAAAGAAGGTGCCAGCACAAGGCCAGGAGTGCAAAGAAAATGCATCCTAATGGGAACAACCAAGCGAAACAAAAGCCATCCTAAATCCACAAAGCAGTGCTTCTTACTGGAGAAAAGAGACAGACTGGGCAAGTCAAGGTGATCAGTCTGTCCATCTCTCCCTACATATAATAATTTGATCTTCCCTTCATATCAAGAGTTAGGATTTAATCTTCCCTTCTTCATTTTAAACACATTCACAGAACATCCCACGGCAACATTTTGGTGTGAGGTTACAGTCCCACTTAAGTTACAATCAGACTGTACAGCAAACATCTCTGGTGCTCACCCCTTTTGAGACAAAAAGGAGCACAAACTTCTCCAAGTGCTGGATAAAACCCTTTCTTACAGCCACGGCCAAGGGCATAGCTGTGGTCACAGGTTAACAGGGGTGTCTTGCAGCGCTTCAAGTATTACTCTAACTAGGAACACTTCAGACCCTGCTTTACTCTGAGCCAAAGCAAAAGGGAAGCAAAAGCTTTCAAGCTTTACAGGAGGATATCCAGGTGAGCGTCCACCTGACCACAAGCCCAGCCAAAAGTCCCCCCTGACCTCACAGAAAGCTCAGATCCATATTGAGCTCCATGTGGGCTCCTTCCATTTGTCAGCCCTGCAGAGCAGATGCTGTGGGACAGACCAATGCAGCTGCAGCTCCAGGTAACTCATCCTGCCTTTACTTCCTCTGTTCCAGGAGAGGAGAAAGCACTCAGCAGTTCATCACCACCCTGCGAGCTCAGGGCTAATCCTTCCTGCTGCTGTAAAGTCCCAGCCCATCCCTGCTGCAGAGAAAGGGCACGAGGTTACCCTGCTCCTCCCGTCCTCGCTAACCAGGTACTTCACTACCCACGTTTCCTTCTCGCCCTTTTAGTCACCTGCTCCAACAATCCACTGAGCTGGAGCCTGAACCAGCTACCAAAGGGCTGCCCCTTGTCCCAGCCCTTCCCACTTTCCCCCCAACACTACCCTTGTATAAAATGCAGCTTGCTACCTGATGAAAACACTACCTACTTTAAAAGGGGTACAGCTGGATAAGAGTTTAAAAACAGCCACTAATGCCACCTCCTGCACGGTGCAGCAGGTAAAAAAACCCATTTCTCAATGTTTTTCAGTAGGCAAAATGCTGGTTTTCTGGGGAAAGAATCACACACAACTGCTTGGTACCAAGTTAGAGGGTTTCTGTATCAGCTTCCCAGATTTATTTGACATCTTCTAAGACTTCCACTAAACTTAGTCTCTTACATCGTTTCTATACACAGGCAGGTTCTATTGGTTAAAATTGTCTTGAGGCTTATAAAAAAATAAGCATTTAAAATGCCCAAAGAGTAATTTTGCTTTAAAGTTGTGCTGCTGAACTTGACCCTCACCACAGAAGAGAGACTTTTGGTAATGAGGTTACCCCAAGCAGTAGAAAAATATACATTAAAAATAGACAAAATCTCTGTCCTCCAAACTGAAGGGCTCTTGGTGGGAATTATGAGTTAAATTCTTTTTGTACATCACTTTAATTTCATTATCTTCTGCTAAATATTTACAGGAACATCCCCACCCCCATCTGAGCCTCAGCTCACCCAGAGAACTGCAGCATCTCCTTCATCCATAGGCTTTTCTGTTGGCAAAAAGGAATCTCTGCTTTTCCCCATGGCACACAAAGTGATGCTGTGGGCACGTACGTCCCTGGGAATGCTCCCAGACAGCCCTGAGGATGCCAAATGGAGCTGAGGTGACACCAGCTATTGCTGCTGACTTCATGGAATGAGCTGGGATCGCCACTGCATCACACTTGGGATGTGTGACCGGGATGGTGGCATGAGGGACGCAGGGTCCCTGCAGAGCTCTGGGATACTTCAAAGAGCAAAACTGGGCAGGGAGGGCAGGGATAAAGGACAAAATAAAACCTTTCCTCAGGATAAAACCAGCCTCATCTCCCTGCAGGGCCCCACTACTCCTGCCCATGGCATCCCTGGCTTTCT